ATCGAGGAGAACAGCGAGGGTGGGGGTGTATTCGGGTTTGTCGGACTGTGGGGGATTTTTGGATGGAATATGCTGTACAGCAGTGCTGGCAGTGCTGCTTGCGCTACCTGCTCTTCGTCCTAAAATACCGGCGTGTCTGTGCGAGGCGTGCTTTGTTTTCCCCCCAGACGATGAACGACTGGGCCCCCATCGCCAAGGAGTACGACCCCCTGAAAGCCGGGAGCATCGATGGCACGGATGAGGAGCCCCACGACCGGGCCATCTGGAGGGCGATGCTGGCACGGTACGTGCCCAACAAGGGGGTCACAGGAGATCCTCACCTCACTCTCTTCGTAGCAAGGCTCAATCTTCAGACAACAGAGGAGAAGTTAAAGGAGGTCTTCTCCCGGTACGGAGACATCAGAAAGATCCGTCTGGTTCGGGACCTGGTGACGGGGTTTTCCAAGGGTTATGCGTTTGTTGAGTACAAAGAGGAGCGTGCTCTCTTGAAGGCCCACCGGGACGCCAACCGGCTGGTTATTGATCAACATGAGATCTTTGTAGACTTTGAACTGGAACGAACTCTCAAAGGATGGATTCCTCGGAGGCTTGGAGGTGGTTTTGGAGGCAAAAAAGAATCTGGGCAGCTACGGTTCGGAGGACGGGACAGACCTTTCCGAAAGCCCATCAATTTGCCAAACATGAAAAATGATTTCTATGGAGAAGGATCAGCAGAGAAAAGAAACTGGTCTCGTGAGGGAACAAGGGACTGGAGAACACGGGACCGAGACCATGAAAGGGGCAGAGAGAAGCGATGGCCAGAAAGGGAGCGGTCGGGGACTTGGGGTGAAAGTGAGAGAGAGAGGGACTCCAAAGAGGAGAGGAGCAGGGGGAGGGAGAGGAAGGACAGAGACAGGAAGGACAGGGACAGAGACCGGAGCAGGGAAAGGGATACCAAGAAACAACGAGATGATGACAAACATCGGTAGGTGACAGTGCCTTGTCGCTGGGGCGCGGTGTCTGCGCTGACACCCCCAGCGTTCCAGGTGCGGAGGGTGCTGGGAGCAAGGAGCCGCGGTGTCACTGTGTGTGGCTGGCACTCGCCTGCTGGAAGCTCTCTGTAGTTCCGTTGCTCCTGCTTTTGATACCCGCTCTTGAATTGTTCTCCAGAGAAAATAAACTTTTGTATTACTGTTTATGAACTGGTGAATGCTGTAAGAAATGCACCACATGTATGGACATCCCACTGAAACTGAGCACACACCTCGTGTGACACCCCTCTGGCTGCCGGGGTTGGGGTTGACGGGAGCTCCGTATTGAATTATTTCTGTGCCGGATGTCCACACTCGTTCAGCGGGGCAGATGCCCTTTATGAAACAGTCACTTGTTGAAGAGATAGTAATGGAATAGCAACAAACTAACCTGAGAAATGTGCCCAAAACAGAAGCCAATGTGAAGTGACTTTATTTTCTTGTAGACACGGGGACAGGTGAGATCTTTAGCAATACCATGTCCTTAACTCCGTCTGTAAGGCGAGAGCGAAGCACGTAACAGATCTATTTTTAACAGCACGGGAGGATGTAATTCCTTTTCATTAGAGCAATGCACCCTACGGAACCGTGTATATACAGACACACATCTTCCGCTCAGGAGCTTGTCATTATAGGCAATTCCTAAATATTTGCTAATGTATCTTAAACTGTTTTTTTTTTTTGTCAGCCTCTGAATGGCCCTATCCTCAGCCTTGCCCAGGTTGAGGCTTTATTTCCACAAAGAGTTGTATGAGCCTTTTTCAGGGAAAAGAAGACAGACCAATATGCTGCATCCCCAAGAACAGATGGTATTAACTTTCCACAAAAAAAAAAAAAGATTGCAGAAATAATTGTTTTTCAGAAATATTTATTCAACTGTTAAAATTATTTACTGCCCAACAAAAAAAAAAAAAAAAAAAAAACAAACCCCACCAACCAAAAACCTACCCAAAAAACTTCAGTGATCCTGCCCTTCGCAGACAGGATGGTTATGCCCCTTACCCGACAACAGCCTGGCCCCTTGTCTAAACGCAGGTTTTACTTCAATATTGAGAAACAATGACAGATCTTCAAATCTTCACATACTCTTCCCTACGCGCCATCCTCTCCGATGGCACTGGCACTGCACAACCTCAGCATTTCTAGCACGAGCATGAGGAGCTGCGTGGCTCATGCCAGCAGGTCAGGAGGAACTAATTAGATTTCTGAGGTAATGGGCTACAGAGACGAGTGGGGGGAGGCTGTAGTGCTTAGTGCCGTGGTTTAACCTGGCTGCAGATTTGACCCGACAATAGCCACTGGGCGCCGGCGGAGGGGCGAGCTTTATATGCACTAGGCCGGGAGATTTCCTCTGTAAAACAGCAGCTTAGGTGCTGGGGAAAAACCATTCAGTCTGTATTTCTGTTATCCCAGCTCGTTGCTCTCAGCTGATTTCAGAAGTGATGTGCTTATTCAGGCCGCGCATCCGCTGCGTTCAGGCATCACTGCATCTCCTCTAAATGTGCCAAACGGTAAGCTATGCGATGGAGAGATTCGATGGGCATCGTTCACTATTTACTTTAACTGCCTCATCCAGCTGTAGTGTTTTGGGGTTTTTTTCTAATATGGAAGTTAAATTGAAATCTTAGCAATGCAATAATCATTAAAGACACTCCCTCTGTGTAAGAATCCGTTTTCACACAAGGGAGGAAGTGCTGCTGTTTTATGGATGCAGCTCTCTGTAAGCATAACCCTTACAATATGTTACCAAAACGTAACCAGGCAAAAGCGTATCTGCTCCATACTAGCATCAGATGCTACCGTCACTGTTCCAAATGCAGATCTCTTTCCTGTAAGGCCACATTTCCTCCGGGCCCAGCACTGCAGTGACACCAGGGAGGCACAGTAACACCTTCTCTACCTCGCACATGCGCAAGGTCTGTCTTCAAAACATGGCACAGTTACGGTCAGGAGCAGAGCGGTACTCAGCCCACCACTGCAAAGAATGGTTTCCTGGCACGGTTACACTCCAGACGGGCTGTGAACGTGAAAGAGTCCAGAGTCTTGGATCACCCTGCATTAGAAACAACGAGCCTGCACTAAACCCTCTGGCTCACTCTCATCTAGGACATCTTGGGGTCCTTTGAGAGTTCCTCCTACATCCACTGCCTGGAGGAGCTGGAGCTTTACTCCAGCCTGTACACCAGCCCGTCCACTGCATGGGGCTTTAGCGTCGTGGTTTCTGTAGATCCAACCTCAGTCAGACCCAAGGGTCTCACAAGCCAAACTGCAAAGCAGATCTGAATCCCACCTCCTGGGCGTTGGGCTGTGCTGGGCTTTTGTGGGAGGTTACGCCCCTGTAACCGCAGGCTGCCCCAGCACCAGCGGAGCAGCCTGCACGTACAGAATTCATCTGCTCTGCCCAAGGAGGGTTTCGTCAGAGAAAATGTTTTGAGTTGGGGTCATCTCTAAGTCAGTCAAGATAGTTCCTGTCAGCTGGTCGAGGATGTCTTATCTAGACAGAAGAGGGAGTGTGACTTAATTAAAAACCCATCTGTGGGAAAGAGACCCAATTCCTTTCCAGCAGCTGGCTGCTGCTCTAGGGGGAAGGCCCTGGTAAGAAGGAAAAAAACTTGAGTGTTAGAATTCCTCCTTGTAAGCAGTTTGTTTTCCATTAATACTGCAGAACTCATGGCAAAATGCAAGGCACGCTCACCTCTTACTTCGGTTTCTTCATGCTTTAGGCACTATAGGCAGCAAGGGAAACGTATGCTCCCGCTCCCTCTCCCTCTCAAGGCTACTCCAGTTTATCGATTGGTATCGGGTGGATTTCCAAGTGGTTACTCTGCAGAATGCAGATGCCAGCTGAACTTGACAGGACACAGCAGTGCTAAGACCTGCTGTCATATGCCTCTTGAAAAAATTCTTACAGAAATAAAAAGCAAACAACCGATAGTGTTAACAAACAGGGTAAAAGAGTCTTTGCCACTAGATATTGTACACTGCAAACAAACTTCTAATAATGGCACAGGTCCTTTTTTTTGGTTTAAAGAAGCTTGTGTTACTGTAGTTAATGCATGAACAAGACCATAGACTTGTTATTCATCACAAAACAAGTCATCTAGAAGCTTCGATGTCCCAGGGTATCAGCGACTGTTACTACGCTTGGATTCTGTTTTCAGCAAACAGGCACCATGTAAACAGCAAGGGATCCCTTCTGAAGAGTACATCTGGACACAGCCGCGGAGGTGTGCAAGGGAAGGAAAAGTGATGAGCTGCCGGATTTGCTTACAGAAGCTTCTTGTTACTAGAGTGTCGAGATCTACTGCGGTAAACTGAACACCTTGAGGTTTTAGTCACAGGTGCTGCAGGGCTTCTTGTCCTTGCTCGGTGTAGGAGTCATCTCTATTTGAATTAGACCATTCTCCAAAAGTATCCTGGAAGTGAACACTTTTCTGGGATGCCTGCATACGTTTCTTATCACGAGAGAAGAAACTAAACCTTCCGGGAAGGGAGGAGTGAGGGGGGGAAAAAGAAAGAAGACTGTTTACCATCTTGAAAGCAGTTCAAACACCCGACACAATACACAGCACAACAAAACACAGAGCAAAAAAATCTATTTGCATCTGCAAAAACCACGGCAGTGAAGCCTGATGGGAGTGCATGTCAGAATGCTATTAGAGATGAAGTCACTGCAATCTCAAGCGGTTTGGCTATGGAAGCTTCAAATCAGCTCTAAATGCTGTTGACTCTACACGGTGCAGGTATAATTTTAGAATATTCCCCCTTCCCCAGCCCTCAGACAAAAGAAGCGACACAATACAGGTTAGTTTCTCGCCATAAGTAAAGTGGTATCTTTGGCATTAAATCTGTATAATTTACCATAAGGCAGAAATAGAAATTGTTTTTAAGGGTGTCAGCAAGGAAACTCGTAAGATAAGAAAATAAGCCTCCACATTGTTTCCAAGTGTACAGATTTGATATATACACTCAATTCCTGCAAAAATAAATGAATAAATGCACATACGTGCACGTGAGTTTGCAGGAGGAAGGCTCTAAAGAAACGCACACAAGTGTGCACGTCATTTCCTGTCACACGGCTTGGGTGCTCTAAGATAATGACGTACATGAACCAACAGCCATTTAATACAACAACAAATTGCCAGCTGACAACAGAGCTAAAAAAATACAGTTGGAAAAGTCCTTAGTGTTATTTTGTTGGTATAGGGTGAAGTTACTTGATTAGGCAAATTCAATGTTCGTCACGAGTTCAGTACAAGAGGCGTTAGTGCAGGGTTTAGGTCTGCTGAGAAATGCAAAAGTTGTGGTTCCCGCTACCCAAGGTCTGAACTGGCTGCACATCCTTCGGGTTTTCCTGGGGCACTTCAGGAGGCAGATATTGTTTTGCTTGCACAGCACCAAGTGTAACACAGTTCTGATCCAGGAACTGACAAATACTTCTACAGTGAGAGACTATGCAAACATAAACACAGCTTTGACAGGTGATGGAATAAGGTCAGGGCATAAACCTGGTGCCGTGTCCTTGCCCCACCGTCCTCAGCGTTCTTCCTCCACCCACACTTCCTGGAGTCTCCCCTTGTACCATGATCCCCATCGTCCAAGCTGCCTTGTGCAGAGCAGGGAGCTCTGCCTTCGGTGTCTCGACTACAGGAGACTGTATTTGAGTGGCAGATGAGGTTCAAGGCAGCTTTCCACAAAAAAAATCCTATTGTATATGCAGGTCAGCATGATGATAGCTATTAAGAATATTAAGAATAATTATTTCTTGACTAGAAAGTGATTAAAATAGCTACACAAGTGCAATGCCAGATAACCAACGTTGCTAGCAGGACCTGAACTTTTGCACTTCCTGGCTTCAGATGTGCAGCCTGAATAGTAAAATAAGTCTTTTGCATTTAATTAGCCTCATACTTTTCTACCACCCTCATCACAGGAGCTCATAGATTCACACACATATGCTATGCCTTTTCAGGGCCAGATCTGATTCCAGGTGATAAAAGAAGTCTCTGGTCACTGAGGCTTTCTGCTGAGCGTGTTTGGTCCTGCATGGTCAGGCTTAGGATCTTGAAGTCCACACAAAGGACTGCTGTTTTTATGCAGTAAGTTTCAAATGTCAAACTTCAGTATTTTTTCACTTTATCATGAAATTCAGTAAGATAAATATATGTTTGTAAAAAATCTCTACAGGAAGCAGAAGGGTAATTCCTTCTGAAACAGTGAAGATTGTTATTACGCCTAGAAAACTCTGATGGAGGATGTTTGGAAAAAGCATGTCTTTGTGGAGAGGAAGGGAATTTAAATACTGTGTTGTTGCTGTAAATACAAAGATCACCAAAGCAGCAGTTCTAATGTAGAGTGGCATTAACAATTATCAGTACATCTTCCAGAGACAGCCAAGAATAGAATGAGAGCATTGATTATTGAGAATGTACGCTCTATTCCAAAATACATAATTAGAGACAAAATATACAGTGCATAGATAGAAAGACATGGAAACAACAGCCTATAATTAACACTGGAAATTAATGTAGATATCAGCCATTCCATTCTGTAAATCTAACTAACTGATTTGTAACGGCTTTCTTAAAAAGCATTGGTGTGAACTGTGAATAGGTGCTCTTAGTAAGCAACATTAACAGATGCTGGTTAAAATTGCATATTGCAACAAGTTCCTCAGGAGTAATGACTGGTTTAGCATGGAAACATTAAGGCAAAAGGTGATCAAATGTCAATACTTGGGGATGAGCATGGAGGACTACGATGAGCTGTGTACTGACTGGTCATTCTGATTGGCACATTGTTCTTCTGTGATCCCACAGGCAGCCGATGAGAATGGAACCAGCAGTGCACGTTAACACAGGGTCATGCAAAAGGAAACCACAGTACCAAACATTAAAAAAAAAAAAATTCCTACAAGGGACACAAGTCTTCTTATTGGCTGCAATGTGGGATCGTCTGGAATCAATCCAGCTGCTACCATGGGCATTATGGCTGTAAAGATCCTGGTCAGGAAAGTACAGACACAGAAGAGATAAGACTAGAGCAAGGGAAAGAAAAAGCATTCCATTAAAAAGAAAAGAGGCAAACACGATACATGGGGTTACTTTGAATTACCACACAGGACACGTCACAGGGAGAGGTAGATCTGCATCACCCAAGACAGCTCTCCTCACTGAAAAACTTGTATTTAGAGAAAGCAGTCGCTGCAACAGTTTAAATTGCTTTTGAATTTCTAAAAGATACCACTTTCCTGTTGTGAGGCAGCCTGCAATTGGGGTTGGATTTCATCAGGGTATTACCACCTCTAGCAATGCAGAGCAGAGTGCACATTTTTCTTCCCAAGAGACACACAGGCACATACAGAATGAGATGGAGGATGAAGGTGTATGTTAAGAAGTACAAAAAGGACTCTGCTGTGACTACTGGATATTTGCATGGAAAAAAGGGTTAGACAGGACTGGTATTACAGTTAAAGATGTATAAATGTTACAGTTGATAGTTTCAAGTTAAAAACCAGTATCACAGGTGAAATCTGGAAATAACCCCCTGTGCAAGCTACTCAGTTAAAGGCCTGTGTATCTGCTCCAAAAGAACCTGCGCTGCTTCACATGCAGAAAGATGGCAACTGCAGGCAGCTAAATACCAAAACCTTGCAACTACTCTATCAGAAACACTTTCTAGCTGGCTGGCAGCAAGACTGTTTCTTTGTGAGAGGTCAGCACTTTACGCATTATACAGTTCATGCAACCTAGAGGCTGAGGGAGCACGCTGGCCAGGTGCTCTGTGCCCTGCCAGTGCCACACAAACCTGCCAACACACCTTCATCCATACCTGGAACACCCTTTGTTTTTTCTAAGGCTTCTCCTCAGAGGTTCTCCCTTGTGCCAAATAATTTTTTGAACTGTGGACTAATGTCAATTAAAGATTAAGTTGGAATCATGAGAGACATTTCATTTGTGAGCAAACACAGCTCTCCCCAACACAGCCACTCTAACTGCTATTCTTAGATTAACAATGAAAACAAACAAGCAAACATTGTTGTATCATCAGCAGTAGCTAGGAGTTCTATTTTTCTGCGTTGTGGCATGGTCCATGAGCTGCAGAAATGTGACAGACACACCAGCTTTTGTAGACCGCAAGAATAGGAAGAAAACTTATGGCTGTTTCGGGCATTACATCAGTGTATCCTTCACGAGAAAACAAAAGGGCGTTTTCTGCTCAAAACAGAGGGAGCATTTTTAATCCTTGTACTTTTCCTCCTCAGTAAAGCCTCCTGGTTGCATTATTTCATCAAAACTCTGACATGTGATGTGATGTGATAGAGACAAATGTAGAAATCAGTCAGGCTGAGATCAGAACTCAGAGTTTCTCCCAGACATGCAAACCCTGGGAATGAAACCTTGCAACACGTGCTCCAGACTTCTGGTTAGCCTAAATAGTGTACTGAAGAAGGAGACGTTAGAACTGGAGTGGGCTTCTTGGGCACACCAGTCTGGCCCATAAACACCAGCACATGCGGTACTGTTGGACTCCCTACAGCAAAAGGTACCATGGGAAATAATCCGAGACTGAAAGTTGACCCAGAACTAGGCAAAAGTTTTGGCCAAAGCCAACTGCTGTTTCATTATACCAGTCAAATGCTCCTTCAATGCCTCTCCTATATACATTAGGGATATAGTTATCTTATTTTTTAAATTATTTAACATTTTCCTACCCATAAGAAACATTTAGTATTTGGAGACTATATCCAGTATCCATAGAAAATATGCTACTTACAGGCGTTTGATTCCAGATTCAGGCTGAGTTGAGGGCTTTGACTGAATTATGGGTGTAGGTTGAGGGGATCTAGTTTCTTCTTCTGTTTCCTCACTTGAAAGAAAAGAAAAGATAATTAATGGTCTCCTCCCAAACCACAGAAGTGATTTAAGTTCTCAATTTCAATGGGAGATTTTTCTGTCAACCAAGGAACAGCACCTAGAACCGGGTCTCCTTTCAGTGTTTTCTTCTCATTGTGTCAAGGAGAGGGCGAAGAGGAATGCATTGAATGAAAGTTCTAGAATTTTCATTTTAGACCCCCTCTTATCCTCATTTTTGAAGTTCAAAAGTATTAAATGTTTATAATCTTTCTAAGATTCATGGAGAACCTGGGAGTTAGGGAAGGATGTAGTTTTTCCAAGTTCTGAGGAACCAGATTCCCCCTAAAGCTGTATGCTTGCAGTCTCTACTTTAAGCCTTTGCAGAAACACAAGCTTGTTGGATACTCTTTAAGAGCACATTTATTGTTTCTCGCCCTGCCCTATGGCTCCCCTGTTTATAGCATGCGATAGGAGGAGATCTAACCTACCTTTTGTAATATAAAAGCTCCTCTTGAAGTAAAAACACTTTCGATTTCAATTCATTCCTCTCATGAAGGACATCCCGGAGCTCCTGCAAGGTGAATCTCGGACGATTTGGATCTTTTAAGTCCATTGCCATCTTTTCTGACTCTGAGAGGCAGTCATCATTGTTTGGTTCTGTCTAGGAAGCAAAACATGGGCTTGAAATTCACCATGTGAGTGCATGTCTGAGGAGTTTAAAGTATTTATCAGCCTAGTTCCTAACCTCTTCCTTTCAGCACTATTAAATCCTCTTTCAAGAGAAGCACAGCCATTTTAAGAGGGGAAAAAAGGTAGAAGGAATTTGTTTTTCACGTTAAAGACTGTCATCAAGAAAAGCTGAGTCATCTGATGACTTTATTCTTCCCTGTGCTCAGGTTGACTGATAACACACACAGGACTGGTCAGACCTTGGCAAGCTTCTGAAAGATGATCTGAGCTCTATTGTACTTCTCTTCACCTGGTGTTCAGGGGAAGCTTGCAAAGAAGGAAGACCCAAGTGCTGTGACTTACCCTGTGCTCACAGCAATCTTTCTCAGAGTTACATGTTTGGGAAAACAAACACACCAATTGTTTCTAGCAGGCCTGAACACAGGGTCCAAGGAATTCCAAGGATTTCATACTTTTAACAAATGGGGTAAATCAAACATCAGCTTTTTATATAAACACTGAAAAAACCACATAGCAAAGATCATGACAGTTCCTTCCAGCTCCCCCCACAGAGAAAGCTCCTTTGGATGTAAACATATTAAGTGGAGATTTAAATTTATATCTCCTTAATGCCTTTACTGAAAAAAGCAGGATTGGAGTTAGCACCAGGATCTAGCTATAAAGTGGAAGAAACCAGCAGATTAATGCTCAATGAGGCATTTATACATGTGTACCCTTGTCTCTTCTTTTCATCTGAGAAGAGTTCACTGGAAGCTTGGAGGAATTTTATCTCGCACCACCCAGTTTCTGTGGCTCGCAACAAGCCAGAACTTGCACTCTAGGCACGTGGTTGGATTCCCAGGCCTGGGGGGCTGCTTCCTGTCACCCAGGTGGACTCTAGCACCTGCAGAGAACTATTTGGCCCTAACTGCTTGTGAAAATGTAGCCTGTATAAATACAGCATTCAGAAGACCATCGTTCAGGTCCTCTACTGTTCTTCCACTCAGTGGCTGCACAGAGCTGAGGAGCAGTTCATGAGAAATCCCAAGCTTCTGGGAAGGGAACTTAGAATCAAGACGCTGAAGAGCAGCTACAAGCCTTTAGAGATCCACAGGATTTCCAACAATACAAAGGTGTGCAAGGTACTCTGTCCTAGCAAAGTCCATTTGAAATGTAGTAAAGTCCATTTGAAATGTGATGCTTTTTCAAGGACTGTCTAGAGTCCAGCACATGAAATCAGAGATGCCAGCAGCCAGGTCAGCCACCCACCCTCCCAGTAGGATGCAGAGATCAGAGTCTCAGAGCTCCTGTGTTGCCGTGGTGCCTCGCTGGGATACAAGCTGGAAAAGTGAGGAGCTAAGTAACAAAATTCTTAAATATAGTCAATTTTTTGTAAGCCTGATCCTACTCTCTTTTGAGCTCATGTGCTTGTGAAACAGTTTTGCTACCCATTGATGTATGATTTCAGATTAAACTCATCATCTGGGCTAAGGCTGGTGCAATATCAGTTTCTATGACAGGGACCGCAGTCCTTGTCCTGCAAAGACAAAGCAGCAGAGCAATGCTCACTTGTCCATTTGTCTGATTCACCCAATTCATCCAAATGAGTTTCTTTACAGAGACTACAATAAATAAAGATAAATGCAACCTAACAAGAGACTCAAAGGAAATTACCCAAACACTTTTCCTCTTCTTCACCTCTCTAGATTAGGGCTTGAGCTGATGCCTCTTCTTTTGGTTGTATATTTGCCCCCCACCTTTTCCCAAATAAGCTATTTTTGCTAGATTTTGCTCACATCAGCAAAGACTGAGCAGCCTGTAACCAATGCAAATGTATTTGACTGAAACCAACCAGCAATGTCCATTCCAGAGCATGCAGCTGTTCCAGCTTTCTGCTTGCCACTGCGATTCCTGTCTGGCCATCATCCTGACAGAGAGAGCGGGGAACAGCTCTAATTAGAAGAGGCACCATTGCCACCGAACTGATGAGCTAGAGAGAGGTAAAGAATGCCTCCTTTCTCTCCAGAGACTGAAGCCACTTTCAGTCCTCCTGGCTCCAGGCCTAGGCTGGAAGCTGGTGTGTCCTGGCTGAATTAACAACAATGAAATCATCCTTTTCATTATTAATGCCGTGCTTGCCCAATTCAGCAGTGACATCTTCACACAACACTGGCTGTCACATTCCAGGGGTGACCAGGGTACCCCATCAGCCTTTGCCTCTGCTTCTTGATGTATATTCCTGCCTACTACAAGTGAACTGGATGCTTCACTCTGCTGCAGTCTGTCAGGTGCTTACAATGCTGCTTGGTACTGGAGCTCTTGCCAGCGCATCCAGCCAAACAGCTCTATATGATAGCGCTCCTCAGTTCTTTCAGATCATCAGAACCCTTATCCTATCTTGTACTCTAAGAGCAGCATTAGGAAAGGGAAATACAGCACATTTGGTTTAGTTAGACAGAAGTAGTGTCATATGCAAAAAGAAAAATAATAGGAACCATAAAGAGGAATAAGGGATGCAACAGATGAGAGGCACCTTTTCTCAGGAAGCTCCCCTCAAGTTTGCATTCCTACTGCTCAGATCTCAGCACCAACTCAATTTGCAGATTGTCACTTTGCCTGGTCCTGCAAGTGCTTGAGTATGCAAGCAGTAATGTTTGCTTTTCATGAACATTTGCGCTAGTACCACTTCACTGCACAAATTCTAATAGGAATCAGAAGCAGAAATAAGGCCAAAATTGTTTCCTCTAAAAGGTGCCTTCAAATATTTATGTGTTGATTTGGTAGCAATAGACCAGCTTAGTCCTGACAGATCAAAAGTGCCAGATGCAAGGACCAAGCGTGCAGAGTTCTGCATTGCCTCTGGGATCGCTTCTGACACTATTTCTTTTTTACTATGGCTCTCATGCCACCACTGTCAGTGCATAGCACATTTGGGACCCATTAGGGCTTGCATATTTGCATACTCGGCAAAGCTTAAGCTCCTTGTCAGCTGTTTATCTTCTGGAAAACCCAAGCTGTTTAAGATACCTGTTTGTTTTCCTTCGGGGGAAGGGGTTGATGTGTACAAACAACATTAAGCCAAACATACTAACACAGTGCTACCAAAGCACCTCTGCCTCCAGTACAAATTAACAGCTGATACTCCAGAGATTTTGGATTGCTTCGTAATGTTTTTAATACAATGCTCTCTTTTGGAGCAATGATTTGTTCTGATCCCTGGTGAATTCTGCAGCCTCGTGCATGACCCAAAGGTGACACCTCCTGGGACATGTGACGGGTAGCCAAGGCTAAGGGGAGAGCTGTTCTCTAACGCAGACATCCCGCTGCTGACTTGTGCTGCCACTCTGCCTTCTGTGAGATCGGTTCCCTCCTTTAGGAAGGAGGGGTCTGTCCCACTGGGTCATCATCCATCCTAACGGGGCCTTTCCTGTCACAGTGCAAGGAGTGACGTTGCTCTCTGTATGTCACATGTGAACACAAACTGCTGTCCTCAAGTGCCACCATTGCCTCTGATGTGTATCAATCACGTTTATCCAAGGAAGAGGTACTTGGTATGAAGTCCAGAGCTTTTTAAAAGGCTGTTTAAAAAGTGATTTAAAGAGCCCCTTACCTTCTCTTCCTCCCCATTTTGGCTGTCCTCACCCTGCAGTTTTTCTCTCAGTTTCCCCAGCTCTGCTCGCAGGTTGCCCATCTCCTGCTCCTTAGTTTGCAGATATGCTTCTAACTCCACCTTCTGCTCAATCAGCGCCTTCCCCTGAGCCTCCACAACAGTGATCCGGTGCCGCAGGTCGTGGTTAATTTTCATTAACCTGTTCTGTTGCTGCTGAAGCTGCAAAACATTGATGCAATAGGTCAGCATCCATTGAGCCATCAGCCACGATGGCCAAGTCCCAAACATCATGCTAAAGAAAAAATAGTGGGTTTCTGTTGAAGTTAATCTGGAGAACTCTCCTCCCTCCTCACTCCCAGATTAATTAGATATTTTTTTAAATAAGTATCCACTACAGTTGCAGTCACCAAAATTTAATTGGTTTCTAGAGTAATGAGGCATTTCTCCCCTAGCACAGGGAATTCTTCATCTAAAAGCAAATCCATAATTTCTGATATTATATTTCAGGAAAGCAAAGTTCAAGGATAGGGTGGCTTACGGGATTCTGAATCAAATCTTAACCCAGAGTAGAAGAGAGAAAGACCAGACAGGAATCCTTAGTATTCAATCTATATTTATTTACTTTGAGCTCTTAGGCTCTCTCCTAAGGCAGGATGTGACCTGCTGGGCATTGTATGGACAGCACCAGTTTGAAAGGCCACAGTTCATCCCACAGGCACTTGGGTAGAGCAGAGATCATCTAGGCCAGGCCCTCACTAGCACCAGAAAAGTCCCAGGGCCTAAGGAGATGAGGCAGCGCAAGGATGGGAAGCAAAATATGGGTAAGGAGGTCATTCTCCTGACACAGAAAGAACCAAGACATCATGTGATTCCCAAAGTCACAGTGGAGTCTGGGATTCATCTAAGACTAAAGCTGGATCTCTCGTGCTGTGGTCCCCAGGGCCACCCATCCTCTCAGCGACCTTCTGTTCACTGCTGGCAAAAGTAAGTGACCTGCGCTGGGCCCAGGCTGCTTCCTCCTACCCCTTTCCCGTTCAAGGAGGTAACCCACATTGGTGTGGGAGGGCGTGCGTGGTGTCCCTGCTGACAAACTCGGGGATCTCTGGGTGGAGTGAGGCAGGGGGTGCTGAGGAAGTTCGCACTGCCAAGGCAGAGAGAGATTCAAGAAGACAGAGAAAGTTACTTGTCATGTTCCAAGGAAAGGGGAGAGGTACGAGGTCCTTAAGGAAACAAAACAACCTGTCCTTCCCCCATCTTCCTCTCTTGTTACACTGGTTTTCTGTCATATTCCAAGAGTGCCTGGTCCTTCTGAACACAGCAGAGGGTGTGTGTCCACACTGAAGGCTGCCTAAGCACTTTGGACACTCCACAGTTATGCCAGACACGTTAGTTATTGGGCTAATAATCTGGCATTGCTCAAAAATTCTACATTAACTTACAACTTGAAAACAGGCTATGGAAGTATGGGTGAGAAAGAAGAGAAATAGGAAGAGTAAGAGTCACTTACAGCCTCTACATCCTCATTTTTAAGTCCGAGTTCCCGGTCCTTTGCTCTGATTTCATCCCTCTGTTTATCTACCACTTCCTTCAGCTTCTTCATGACTTGCCGCTCTCTCTCTGACATTCCTGGTTAAAAAAAGATCACAGAAAACCAACGAAGGACAATCAGGAACTGCTGAGACTGAGAACAATAACAGCGAAAAATATTTAGGTAAAGACTCTGGAAGTTGCTTGCTGGTAGAATTACAGAGAAGCTGTTGGAAGATGCTTTAAAGGTTACTTCAAGGGTAACAGGGAACATAGATGACACAACCCACTCCATAAAGCCACTGGACAGAAGTACCTTAAAAAAGGAACTGACAGTCCTCAGAAACATTTATAACAGTGCAGTGACACTGCTAGATCTTGCTGCCTCAGTAGTTTTACATCAGTGTTCGCACTGTGCCCCAGGGAGCTTAGTTACCTGTGTGATAATCTGTAAAATCAGCTGTCCAAGGCCCTGGGAAAATTGTAAAAAAGACAGTCTGGATCCTCAGCAAGATCTAAACGAGATTTCACTATTGTGGATTGCACCTCGATCCAAACCAGCTGAGGTGCACTGGACTAGAATGACTTTATGTTGCAACCCAGTTTTGTGTTGGGTGAAAGGGAAATGAAGCAGGACCTTCAGAAGGTACCTCCATCCTGAATCTAGAACAGAAATTTAGTCTGAACTATGGTCATATATTTTCTCTTCATGTTTTGCTACCCTTTCCCCATCCCATTGTGTGATAATTCATATTTAGAATAACTATACTTCAGAGAAAAATACCACATGGCATTTCACTTGCAAAAGATATTCAGAACACTGCCAAGAATCCAACATTGATCCTGTTTGAAAATAATGAGATTAACCTGAAATCTGACCAATGAATCATTAAGAAATGTCATAAATCACAAAACAGGAATAATTTTCCCATTATTTGCCATTACAGAGATCATCAGGAAGGGGCACTACAGTGACAGGCTCTTCAGAGCAAACACAGACCAGATGATTTAACTTGGTGAGATGATAAATCTAGTAAACTAACTTTTCCTGATAACTGCACAGAGACATGCAGTTTGATGGTTTTAAACTATCCCATGAAATCATGTTGCACAAAATTCTATAGGACAGCTTGAAGATGAAAGCCTGTGACCAAGGCAGTGGGTGACCAAAGCCCAGTCCAAGCAGAAACTCAAATCCAGGATCTGCTGCTGTCTTGTTTAATTACCTTTAGCAAATTACTTAGTTACCTGGGTCCTCAGCTTCCTTCATTCACAAACTGTGAGTGGTGACAATTTATTCACCCCGAGCTATGGCACAGCGGAGAACAGGTAACTGCTCTGCTGGGAAAAGGACTGGTGATCGTGGCTGGCTGGGAATTTGGTTCAGAAGACGTGTTCCTGTCAAACCCCAGAAAAGAGCTGAGAGTGACACAGTGTTCACATTCTAATATTATGTTCTTGTCTTTTTTAATTGTGTGGTAAGCTTGCCTGCTCTATTTATAGACCCTGGTCCTTATCATCTCTCTGCTCTAGGTTCTATTTCTTTCCAGGATAATTTTAATTCTTCACGGTGGTAACAGTTCATACCCACCAGGGAAGACAAGTAGACACTGACACATACTGCTACTGAACTCTTACAGACATCCACACTCTCCTGTCACAACACAGGTCTGACACACCACTGTATCCACAAATCTCACTGCAGGTTCCTGGATCCACCCTCTGCAGCCAGTCTCAGGGCTGGGGCTTAGAATATCAGCTGCATTTAAAAACAAAATAAAAAAAATCCAAAACCTTGCCTTGAAGTACAAAGGGACTGCAGTGAAACTTTAGACTGGTGGTTTCACCCCAGTAGGAGCTAGGAATAGTGAGCGCAGCTATATCCATTAGTACTTGTGAGATGCTTTGAGATCTCTAGCTAGCAGGTGCTATTTAAAGAATAAAGTACCATTTCAGTGCTGACTGCTTTTCCTCCCACTGTGCTCATTTTTCTCCCTAACATTTGGTGAACCTAAAAAGCTTCAATTGTGTGCAGAGATCACTACATTATCATTATTATTTTAAGAGGAGGGGAAAGGAAAGGTGGGAAGTGTTTGTGAAACAGTCACATCATCTTCCATTTCCTCAGGCACTGGGGAAGAGGGGAGGGAAATCGCTAAGTACCCCAAATGTAAAGTAATTATCTCTAAGTGATTTAAACTCTAATAACTGTAAGATCTGAAATGGCACACCCAGCTGGCTTCCCTAGGCACGTCCTATGAGCAGCTTCCTGTGGATTGCTGTGATCATAGCATTGTTTGAGCAAGGGAAAGGAAAGCAACTAAAAAAAAAAAAAAAAAAAATTGAAAAAAAATATAAATACTTAGAATAGAAATTTGCTTCCACTTTTGGAAGGGAATTGTACATTCCTCAGCAGCCTAGCACGAGGCTCACGGAACCTGAAATCCTGCTGCTTGTATCGCCACAGCCAGTCTGAGACAGCGGCTCCCCCCGCTGCAGAACAGCAGCCTGCTTGTCCTGTTTGACACACGTTGGGTCAAGTTTGCTTGTGGCATTTTACTAGTTTCAGTTGCCACCACCAAGTAGGGCTCAGTTTGAGCTTGGGAGGAACAGTGTTCACCCCTCCTGTGTATTTTGTATTCTGCCACATGTCCTTTCATATAAACCCTGCTCAGACCCTCAGCAGGTGCCCTCTCTGCAGAACACTCCTGTTTAGACAGGATTGCCTCTGCTTCTCTACTGAACACCTTCATTATGCTGACATGAGGCTCTGTGAACGCTGAGGTGACTATTAACTGGCAAGGACTGAATCTGAAAGCCTTGTATGTCCAAATCACTGGCCTCTTTTGCCTGTGCTAAAAATAATTCCTTTAACTGTCTGGTGAGTAAGCAGCAGGGGCTAGCCGCTAAGGGGAGACATGATCACAATACTAAATCATGCTGAGATATGAAGACTGGAGTCTAGTCAAAGTTACTCCAGCAAACAAAGTATTTAGCTTGAAAACCTGCCTCTGTAGACTATTCACGTATTAGATCAAATGATGAAGACTGAAAAAAAGCAGCATGACTGCTTTCCAACACTATCCAAACAAGACATTGAGACAAATTTACCCCCATTCATTAATGACAACATTTCCTAAAAGGAAAACAGTTGGATTTGATATAATAGGTCCCAATAATAAGATGGGGTGGCTATAAATTAATGTGATTTGACTTAAACTGATGAATTTGGCCAAAGAATATCAGTGCTCCCAGAATCTGATCTCTGGAAGGGGTTTATGGGTTTTGTTTGTTATTAAACTTGGGTAGGCACAGTAAAAATAACAGGAAAAGCATGCCTGGCATTTGCTTGGCTGAGTGTGGAGAGTATGGCTATATTTAAATACAAGCACATGAGCTGCAGTGAGCTAGATACCCACTGAAATAAAAAAGAAAGAAAAAAAAAATGAAAACAAAGGGGAAGCTCTTTCTTTATAACAAGATGTCATAGTCTTCGTGGTCCATGACTCATCACTGCCATTCTGAAATTTTGCGTGGAGTTTGTAAGGCTGCTGTTGAGCTACTTCTTTGCCATTGATTGACTCCTAAATTGAAAGCATTGAATTTTTTTTTTTTTTAAGTGGTGATCTTGAGAGGTTTAACAATTTTTAGTTTCTGAAGATTTTATTATACTCCTCCCCAGGGCAAGTGAGCAGTACTCAGCCTCTGGGAGAAAGCAAGTGCAACTTCTGCAGTGTTGGGACAGAGTTGTATCCACCTAGAGCAAGTCTTCATTTAATCCCAACCTCCAGTGTCTGGAAAAGGATCTCTCTTTGTTCCTCATGCATTCCTGGGGAGCTGCAACAGCTCAGCTGTGTGGGCTGGCTTGCAGATTTGCCAGTGACACTGCATGCTACACATAGGGTGCCAGCCTTTTGAGGAAGCCATGACGTTACTGATAAGCAGAAAGTGGAGCTGTGGCTTGAGGCAGTGGACCAGAGTCCCGTCCACGTATGATAGTTCAGAAAGCCACCAAGTTCCAGACTGACTCACCATCACAGACATGTTTTGCTGCTGGAGTGATGCTGTTAACATTCTCGCCTGTCCACCCCATCTCTCAGCTCAAGGCTGCCTCATCCCCAAAGCTGCACAGTCATTTTTTTCAACTCTTCAGCTTAAAACCCAGCAAAGTATCATGAAATGGACTCAGGAGCCAGCAGCCTCAAATGATGTGCTATGAAGTGTCAAGCAAACAGACATCTCTTCACCTGCTCTCGGGAAAGAGCTATTTGCTGAGCTGTGGGTGAGAGCCGAGGATGGCAATTGTTTCAGTTGCTGCAGTGAAATCTACATGTACTTGCAAGTCAGAATGTTCTCTTGAACTTCATTGTGCCTCAAGAAAGAAGTTGCCCACAAATTGGTTGTTTCAACTCTTCAGGATTCACCCACTCCCTGGATTATAAATGTCTTCACTTATTCTCAATTGGCTGTAAGTCCCAAACAAGTGAGGGAAACCTAAGGGCAGGTAAACCAAGTAAAATCAGTCTCTCCTATTCTAGGAGAGTATCACAGTGTTCTCCTAGAATATCTCTATGTGGAGGACTGATAATTCAGAGAAAGAAATCTTGATTTGCTGCTTTACAAACAGTTATGCCAAATAGATCAACAGTTGCACTTATCTTTGTGCATAATGATATGAAATAAACATTGCTGAATGGATTATTGTTTGTATTAGAAAACATAATGGGGGCTTAAGAATGTTTTTTGCAAGATATGAGCTAAAAATAAAAAAAAAAGGTGCTATACCGAAAAAAAAAAAGGGAGGCTTGACTTTAGTTTCAGAGATGCTACTCAGCCAAACAAAAAGCTGTTCAGGCTTTTCTTTCCCTCCTACCCCCACCTCTTATCATATCTTCAGTATCACCATGTATTCAGAGATTTTCTAGTCAGGTAAAAATCCAACCAAACAAAAACCAACGCCCAGACCTGCATTAATCTATAGGAAAAGAGCCAGAATATCCAGTCAGAGTACTTTGATAAAGTATTGCTTTTTATAACAAAAGCAAGTACTGAAATTGAAGTATCAAACTTGCCTTCATGCTTCTGAAATTCCTCTTCTGTGAAATTAATGTCTTTGTGAGACAAGTTTGTCATCAGTTGTTTATTCTCCTCCTGCAGCTGTGCAATTTGGGTAAGAAGGTCCTGTGCTTCCCCTCTCCAGACATCCTCCACCAGTTCTAATTCCTAAAGGGTAGACCGGGACAACACATTGATATTTTTAAACAGGTTAAAGAGTCTTTGGCTGGACTATTTACAGATCAAACTACTAACAATCCTACTATGATTCTTACAGAAAACAATTAAATGAAACTAGTTTGATTTTTCTACTTTTCTAATGTCAGCAACAAGAAACCAACCATCAAAGTCTCCTTCTGCCATATGCTGAATGTAAATACATGAGGAGACAATTCCTGATGTAAACATTTTTGTTGTGCAAGTTACTCAAAGGATAGCTCCTTATGTCCCACTTTGCTGTGAGGACCAGATTAAGGGGACTGCTGTGTTAGACAAGATAACCAAACGTGAGCAACAATTAACCTCCTGCATCCCAAGAAGCAGCTGCCAAGGCCCCAGAAACATCCCACTGCACAGGCCAGGGGAGTCAGTGTTAGGCATGCCCATTCTGAAAGAGCAGCATCTCTAGACTAAATTTCCGTTACAAAACACGAGTGTAAAATAGTGAGCGCATGATACAGTGCAGCAAATCCACAGCTCCTAGTCCACATGGTAAACACAAGACGAAACTGTGCTTCTTCTTATGTAAATTGTTCTATATGGAATGTCTCGAGTGGCATGTGCTAGCAGCAGTGAGACCCGTCAAAACAACTCCCATTTGTCAGGACAGTGTGTCAAGAGCAGCTGTCACCAATCCCCGAAAAGGTCAAATTAGGACAAAAAGTATAAAGTCCTCAAGGAAAAGCAGTTGTATTTAGAGCTTTACTCCTTCCAAAAGCCTTTGCCAAAAGTGGGGGGCATTCTCTGCTCCATTTTCATGTATGTGCTTGAAACAAAAAAAGCTGCATGCAAATCACTGGAACCAGGCTGAGTCACTTGCTGACTTTTACATTCATCCAGCGTGCCCCTTTCCTACCTAACAACAAAACACATTCAGACAACAACCCGCCAAGCACAGCTCTAGGCTAAAATAAGCTCTGCTGCGAGATTAAAGGACAGCTTTCTGCTTTGAATGTATGCTCTGATAATGGGAAATCATGTTCCTATTGGCTTTTGGGTCCAAATGCCATTTTATGGCAGCATTTATTACTGCATTGCTGTCACTTCATATCACTTGCTGAAAGTTTTGCAGAAAACACTGTATGACAAATAGGTTATAAGTAACATATAGGTGTTGTAAGCTATGGCAACTGAATAATTAAGAAGAAAATTTAATAAATCACCTCTACATTACTAGAAACTCTCTATCTTGAGAGAAAAGCAGATCTGTAATGAAACTTTATATTGCCAAATATCTGGACTATTTACAGTGATGCTGCATGTCACAACTTCGTAGCTAAAATAACAGGCTGACCCAGTTTAGGTAATAGAACAGCACATCTGTCAGTTATAAGCATACTGATAAAAAAATAGAACACACACACAAAACACCAAACTATCTAAACTTAATTATTGTGTGGCTGCACTATAAACACACAACTATACTAAGGTTTGCCCAGACAAACCTTATTTATTGCTATTTAAGAGCCCAATGAATTGGAGCAGAAATTAACTTCTGAACCCTCGTTAACAGAAGTATCAGACAGAGAAGGCAGATCTATGGGCCAGAAGGTACCAGCCAGCTCAGAAAACTCCTGATGGCGCCAAGCCAGGTTTACAGGCAAAACAGTTTTGCATCTAAAGATTTGAAGTGATAAAACCTCAAACTGATGCTTGCAAGGACCACTAAAAGCTTGTCTGGATTGTATTTTGGAGGCTTTTGGGTCACAACTATTTCTCAGTCTCTGGCTTTTTCTGCTTACCTGTACCTGTCCTGTGAAAGAGTCACTCATCAAAGCCTCACACTGGAACACAGATGGACATGACACTACTGCTCTACAGGGACTCAGTGCACTGGGAATCAACTCAATCAAAAAAAAAAAAAAAAGTATAGTGTATTTTATTTTCCCTGTTAAAATGTATTGCCACCAAAGTTTTGTCTGGATTGTCTGAACACTGTGAACCACTTTGTGATGATTAGAGAAGCTGGCAGAGCAGAGACGGTTAACTGGCAGGGGATCAGCTGACACTGGCAAGTACAGTGTTATGCAGTGACACGTTTAGGAAACTTTTTAACACATATGAACTTCAGAAGCATCTACACAGAATGTGGACTTGTACAATGATACTGGGCCTTGCTGCTGGGATCGGTTCAGTATCCACTTCACTACGCAGCATTTGGTAAACACCTGAGGTAAAGAATTACTGTTGACTGGCAATACAGCGGTCTCTGAAATCAGCGGGGAGATCTGACTTAGAGCACTTCTTCCCTTAGATGACATGGCTTCAAAAAACTTTCTGGCAGCTAGGGCTCAGGAAAAGATAATTTGATTCTAGCAGAGAGCCCAGACACAGTATGGGACCAGCACAACAGACCACCCACCTTCCCCCAAGTTAGATCTGTTTGTTAGAAGGGCAAAGGCACAGGCTTGGTACTTGTATCTATTCTCTAGACCTTTTCACTTCTGGAGACTAAACAGGGCTTCATACATTAAAGATCTTCTACCATCCTTTTCAGAGACACTGCCCTGAGATGACTTCTGCAAAATGTTGCAGGAATTATTCTGGATTTTTCATATGCTACCCAAAAGTCCTCTCGTTGACTCTTTTTAAAGCATAAAACTTGAATTTATTTAAACTAAAGCCCACTCTTGAAATTTGAGGTCTCTCTTGCAGAAATTCCCTGTCTCCTTTTTATTCTCAGTCTGTGTGTGCAAGCATGAATGCACGAGGCAGAAGCGATGATTTAACACAGTCACTTACTAGAAGAACCATTTCTTTAAATCAGTTACATGGAAGGTTTAAAAAGAGTAGATCTGCCACATTCACGGCAATAAGCAGAGCAGCTCATGCTGTCCTGCCACATGAGGGTAACTGGATATGGGAAACGATCTCTACCTTGGGCTTTCACAGGAGTGGGGTCAGGGAACTCTATGACCATCCCAGATCAAGCCAGGGGACAACATCTGACCATCAGAGGATGGAGCAGAAATCTGGGAGAGTGCTCTTCCCTACTCTTCAGATCCAACGCTGCCCTGAAATCACTCAGGCCTCCATCTCTGTCCTATGACTTGCCTACCCGATGAGTGTGCCAGGAAAACTAGACTGCTAAATCATTCACAGCCCTGGAGAGAAAAGTGTATTGTTGCCAGTGACCTTTCCTGGTCTAGCAGGAAGCAGCACTGTCCTCTCCTCAGGAGAGGGGATGGAGCAGAAGTCCTCATCGGGGAGACAGAAGGAAACACAGTGACTAGGGAAGGGGTGGAGAAAGGGAAGGAGGAAGGAAACTTCCAGGAGGAAAGGAAAAAAGAAAAAACAACCAACAACAACAACACACCCAAACCCTCAGCTACGCTAAAGCAGCATCCACGCAGAGCCCGTGAGCCACACAGCCCGCACCGCAACCTCCCTCTTTGTTTTCCCCAGCGGCTGCGGGGCGGGAGGGGGGAAGGAAACGGCGGCGCTGGGTCCCGGCTCCCCCCTCCCCACCCCCGCCCTCTGCTCTCACCTTCTGGTGCTTGCGCTCCTTCTCGATGCGGTCCATCCTCTCCAGGCGCAAGCGGTCGAGCTCCAGGCGCAGCTCCTCCATCTCGGGATTGATGTGGTTA